TCCCTGTGGTGACAATAATCAAAAACCTCTACTTGTTTTAGATTTAAAATAGTAATCATTGTTATTTTTGGGGGCGTATTATGAAAGCATAAAAGAAGAAATAAAGCAGAACAAAATAATAATAATTCATCAAGTGCTTTGTTGTTCACATGTGATTTGATTCCACGTTTGACCCAGATGAAGCTGCAGTCGCCTCACCTAAAGACATGTTGATAGAGTTCCAGACAAAATGAGGCTTTCACTAAAACATCAATTTATCTGTTATACTTAGAAATGTACCTGTGTCCTACAGTTATGTAGTGGACATAAAAAAACTGTACAAACCTTACCCCCTTCTCAAAGCACAGGTCATGTTAAGGCTTTGTTTTGAAGAGATTCATCCAGGTAATGATGATCCAAAACCAATTAACTTGTTGTAAAAAGTATCTAAAATTATACATTATTGACCTTTACAGTATTTATTTAACCAGGAAAGTTCCACTGAGATTTAAGAATCTCTTTTTCAGGGGAGTCCTGGTGAATTTGGTATTGACAATTGGGTCTAGCATACATCATTTTAAAGTAGCAATATAAAAGATTTTCGTGTCAAGTCATCATTGAATGGCCCTAATCTGTCAAAAGGTCTTAATAAACTATGCTCTTTGCCAATACTTCTTTCAGCTGAGATCTTCAAATTTCAAAATTAGTTTTACAAACCCTAAATCTTGTTATAGTTTTCATTTCAATGTACCCCCCTCCACCGTTTTACCAATCAGAAAGGCCATGATCTGGGTTGCCAGAACTCACCACGTCAATCATTAAAGACAAAATAAGGAATAAAACTAGGATTTCTATCGGGGCCTTGGTAAAAAAGGTGTTAGGAATAGATTTGTTGTTGACAAAACTCTTGTCTATTCAACTATTATGGTCCCAGCTGAATTCGCCTGCATATCTGTCAACCTGAGTCAGGGAGAGTGCAGTACCACATTTGGCCAGATTTTTACAAACTGCTCCTTTAATGTTTATTTTCTTGTTTTGTTAAGTACTTTGTGTATGTACTGTGCTATACAAATACACATGTCTTGCCTATTCATTTGACCTTTTCAAATGGATGGACCAAGAGACTTACAAACAGTACTTAATAAAATAGCATCTATATGTTGAATACTGAGTGACTTTGCATTCCTGCAGCTCAGAAACGCCCTTGCGACTTCCTTAAACAAAAAGCTTGAGTAAATATGACACAGATTAAAGCTATAGAGTGTAAACACATAGGAGGTTAAACCAGCCTTGTGGTGTGACCTGCAGAGCACAACACATATGTTTTAAATTACACCTCACATCCAGCTTTTGTCTCCACCTGAATACAGAGAATACACACAAAGATACTATTACACTTGTCTGGTGCTCATTGTGTCCTACCCAGCCTCCGAGCTCCTCTTTGTGCTATTAAAAGCCGCGCTTATTTTAAAGTCACTAAATGTATAGTTTATGTGAAGCTTTATGGACTAAATGTTATTTTTCTAAAGTAAAATATGTCTTGAAAAATGGTGAAAATAGTATAGTGGAAACAGAGGGAGTGGTCTACGGCAGTAAAGCGTCACATGATTAGTGGGACATGGGTAAACCCTGGATAAGACCTCGCTTGCTGCTTGTACAACAGACTAGTTAGATAAGACTGGAGAAGATAAGATGAATGCGTCAGTGTCACTATGAAGGAGAAGGACGTCATCACCATTACTCAGGTTCACACCAGAGCTCAGCATTCTATTTGTTTGCATATTCTTACTTCTGCATTGGTGGCTCTGGAAGAATGGTTATTTCCCAACTACTTTATATCATACTAGTCCTGTCAAATTATTTAAATATGTAATTGCATTAATAATGACAAAGTTAGCGCACGATTAAGTGCTCTTTGTGATTCCTGTGACGTCCAGGGAGTGGAACTACTTTTGTTTTTTTTCAACGCCTGCTGTACCTTACGTTTCGTCCCACAGGTCCCTCGGCCAAAAGGAATTGACGGCGTTAAAATGGGTTTGCATTAACGCCGTAAAAAAATATTTCACAGTGCAAGTGATGGGAAAGAGGTGTGAGTGAGTTTTGTATTGTGTTGAATGAGTGAGAGGAGTTTGAACTAAATACAGTAAGTGTCTACTACAACAACTGCTCTTGCTGGGGCGGGGCGGGTGTGATGGCCTCTAAAGCCTTAGTGGCCTTAGTCCCTCAGTGCATCTGCAGCTCATCTGCAGTCGATATAAGCACTGTACTGTAGGGTCATGTTTGTTGTCCTTAATGTAAATCTGCACGCATCACAGTAAGCGGATTCCTAGAGCCGAGCCCAAACACACACGCAACAATGAACTTGTCAATGTTTGTTTAGTAAACTAGTAAGTGAAACAAAAACATGACATTGCTATTTGTCCAGTGTGATAAGTAGATTTTAGGTTTTTTGTTTAAATTTTTTTTAGTATAAATCCTAACACATTAAAGTTGTGCAATGAATTAAGTGGGTTGTAACCTTCACTCAGGGCCCGGTACAAAAGTGTTAACCACAAAAACCACAATGCTGTGTCGTTTTGATTATTTACTGAGTAATATTGTTATAGGACAGTACAGAGGACAGCTCATCATCACATATATCTATGATTTTTAGATTCAAAACATATATAGCCTGAACCGTAGATATACAGTGCCTTGCGAAAGTATCCGGCCCCCTTGAACCTTTCAACATTTTGCCATATTTCAGGCTTCAAACATAAATATATAACATTTTAATTTTTTGTCATGAATCAACAACAAGTGGGACACAATCGTGAAGTGGAACGAAATTTATTGGATAATTTAAACTTTTTTAACAAATAAAAAACTGAAAAGTGGGGCGTGCAATATTATTCGGCCCCTTTACTTTCAGTGCCGCAAACTCACTCCAGAAGTTCAGTGAGGATCTTTGAATGATCCAATGTTTTCCTAAATGACTGATGATGATAAATAGAATGCACTTGTGTGTAATCAAGTCTCCGTATAAATGCACCTGCTCTTTGATAGTCTCAGGGTTCTGTTTAAAGCGCAGAGAGAACCATGAAGACAAAGGAACACACCAGGCAGGTCCGAGATACTGTTGTGGAGAAGTTTAAAGTCGGATTTGGATACAAAAAGATTTCCCAAGCTTTAAACATCTCAAGGAGCACTGTGCAAGCAATTATATGGAAATGGAAGGAGTATCAGACCACTGCAAATCTACCAAGACCCGGCTGTCCCTCCAAACTTTCATCTCAAACAAGGAGAAGACTGATCAGAGATGCAGCCAAGAGGCCCATGATCGCTCTGGATGAACTGCAGATAACTACAGCTGAGGTGGGGATGGTGTGTTCAGGGTGATGAGCTGTGTTGCTTTTAGACAAACATATCGTTTTGCATTGTGGCCAAAAAGTTTGATTTTGGTTTCATCTGACCAGAGCACCTTCTTCCACATGTTTGGTGTGTCTGCCAGGTGGCTTGTGGCAAACTTTAAACCAGACTTTTATTGGATATCTTTGAGAAATGGCCACTCTTCCATAAAGGCCAGATTTGTGCAGTGGGCGACTGATTGTTGTCCTATGGACAGACTCTCCCACCTCAGCTGTAGTTATCTGCAGTTCATCCAGAGTGATCATGGGCCTCTTGTCTGCATCTCTGATCAGTCTTCTCCTTGTTTGAGATGAAAGTTTGGAGGGACGGCCGGGTCTTGGTAGATTTGCAGTGGTCTGATACTCCTTCCATTTCAATATAATTGCTTGCACAGTGCTCCTTGAGATGTTTATAATACTCTTTATTTTTCATTTTTCAAGAACATTTACAAAGCATACAAACAAAGGTTTCAAGAATTGAAAGCAATCATGGTAATGAAATTGGTTCATAAACAAACAAAAAACAAAAAGAACTTAAAGTCTGGTAACCCTGTCACAATGTATATAACCATACTGTACAGTACGTGCCAAATACAAGCCTAATTCAATAATGCATTTTCATGAAACTAACCTGGCATCATTGAACACCTTCCATTTTTCCCATTGCTCATTGTACTTCTGTCCCTCTAGCCTAAGATTATATGTAATTTTTTCCATAACGGAAATGCTTTCCACGATCCGGATCCAGTCTTGTTGTGTAGGTGGTTCTGGCTTCCTTGAGATGTTTAAAGCTTGGGAAATCTTTTTGTATCCAAATCCGGCTTTAAACTTCTCCACAACAGTATCTCGGACCTGCCTGGTGTGTTCCTTTGTCTTCATGGTTCTCTCTGCGCTTTAAACAGAACCCTGAGACTATCAAAGAGCAGGTGCATTTATACGGAGACTTGATTACACACAGGTGCATTCTATTTATCATCATCAGTCATTTAGGACAACATTGGATCATTCAAAGATCCTCACTGAACTTCTGGAGTGAGTTTGCTGCACTGAAAGTAAAGGGGCCGAATAATATTGCACGCCCCACTTTTCAGTTTTTTATTTGTTAAAAAAAGTTTAAATTATCCAATAAATTTCATTCCACTTCACGATTGTGTACCACTTGTTGTTGATTCATGACAAAAAATCAAAATTTTATATCTTTATGTTTGAAGACTGAAATGTGGCAAAATGTTGAAAAGTTCAAGGGGGCCGAATACTTTCGCAAGGCACTGTATATCGTACTCTACGTACAGATAGAGTACAAGTCAAGTCTCATCACGAACCCAGAGTCCAAATCCACCGCATTCAATGAAATTATTTTCTCTGTATAGACCTTTCTGTATCTGCAAGGAATTACTAAAAAACCCAGTGGGAAAAAAACCTTAGGGAAGCCCATACTGAGAGATGGATCCACTCCCACGGACGGACAGGCTGTAGATCGAGGACTCGGGCAGTACATTTTCTGCCAAGTTTAAGGATTTTAAAGCATCAAAATAGTCTTCTTCACACTTCTCAAACCCAGTATCCACCAGTAGCTGTTCTCTAAACAATGTGGGATAAACATTTCCTGAGGGGTCAGAGAAGAGCAGCCCTTACCTCCAGCCATGCACGCTGAACCCGGGGCACTGGTCTCCGCATCGCATACACGGCTGCCCTTTGTCTGGGTCTTCTTCCTCCTGCTCGAAACAAAGCACAAACTCTCCATCAGCGACTGCTTGGAGCCAAAACACAGCGTTATCACATGATCACATACGATATTGGACAGACAAGTGCAGAGCAACATTGCATTGGGAGCGAGAAACCAAGAATAAGCAACAATGCTTTTAAGCACACAGTTTAGCAGTGTCCGAGTCTATAGATTTACATTGGATTAGCATGACGCATAAAAGAGTTGGAGGAAATCCGTGCATTATGATAAAACCATGATATTTATAGAAGTTTTAGCGCGTGTCAGGTCAGGGAGTGAGTGAGTGGTGAAAAAAAGTTGCTATAAAAGGATGGCAAGTCACTCTATTGTGACTATCGAATGAAAAATGTGGTACTTGATTTTGCTCCAGCTCTCTCATAAATATTACATTATATTTGTCACAACAGAAAAAGTCTTGTAAATGTAAAATGTTGGGAATAAATCAGGTATACATCTTAACAGAAAACATGTTATCGTTTGTAAGAAAGAGCCACGTGTGTCAAAGTTTGTCGCATTGGGCTGAGTGAGGGTAGTCCCCTCTTTTTCACTTTTCTGTCTGAAAAATCTGACGCAAAGATGTGACAGAGGCCAAACATACACGAATGAGAAAACTAGTGATAGAACCAAACTGTTTTGAGAGCAAGGAGTAAGTAATCTTTACAGACCAAAGTCACCCAAATGTTCTGAGTTCAGATATTGTTCCAATCTCTCCACACGGTGATGACGGAAGGAAGCGAGACGCCGAACACACTGGCCCATCAACACCATCCATTCACTCTCTCATTACATTCACACCTATTGTACATGTTTTTAGTGGTAGGAGAAACCGTAGCACCTGGAGGAAAGCTACGCAGACGCACTCAGCACCTATTGATGAGGTGCTATGTGGGAAGAGGCGCTCTACAAATAATAGTTGATTGATTGATAGATGGACAGTTTCATGTTCTGTGTTTTAAAAGTTAGGCTGAGCTCAAATACCCCTGCAGACTTTAAACATCGACTACCTTTCATTACAATCTGCAAACTAATCCAAGTAAAAGCAAAGCACATTGAAACAGCCCCAATAGAGACTTTGGAGGGACTCACTTTCTCCCTATTCATGGGAAAACCGTTTAAAGTGAAGTCATAAAAGTTGCCATTTGGAAAAGTGCTGAGTGGGGAGTTTGACCCGAAGCGATTGCAAAGCTGAGCACAAAACTCAGTGCGTGTGCGTGAGCCGCTTTTAGAGATGAGGAGGAAGGAAACACAGACAGGATGGGAGCTGCAGCCCTTCCCTCTCCACTCACTCCACAAACACCTGGATCATCAACTGTGAGCGAAACTTCAGAGATTTAATTTTCATTTCAGGCAATGGCACAGATCTTCATGGGGTATGTATGAAACTGGCAAACCACAAATCATCAACAAATGGTGTTTATTTTTACATTGGGGTAAAAGCAAGGATCATTTTGTGGAGACATTTCTACAAATTAGATGCAATTTTTTAATCTTTTTATTTGTTCCTTTTTTCCAAAATGTTCCCTCATGTTTGGTGGTTGTTGATATATTCCAAATTAAAATAAAATATATGCATACAAAACATTTTATCCTTTAGAACAATCACTTAAAAAATATAAGATATATAGTTAAACCACACTGTATTGTTTCTGAAAAAGCTATACAAAAATGAATAATGACTTTCTTATATATCACCAAAAGACTAATCACGAGCAAACTGTTCATTTCCGTGGCCTTGAAGTGGAATGCAGAGTCAGAGCAGACCGGTGCATAGACCTATGGCAGATCTGTTTGTGTTTCAGCTTCATCGACCAAAGAGACTCCAGATCACACAGGATTAAAGAAATAATTAAATTAAATAATGACAATCTGTTACATCTTTATCAACTGTGTATTGCTACAGCATGAGCCATGAAGAAGTGTGGTCTGTGATCCGTTCTGTGGTTTAGAAAACACACTGAACAGTTTATAATGACAGGTCTGTCCAAACAGGCTGTAAAACAGCTGCAGTACATTCAAAATGCAGCAGCTCGAGTCCTGACTAGAACCAGGAAGTACGACCATATTAGTCCAGTTCTCAGGTCTCTGCACTGGCTTCCTGTGGCTCAGAGAATAGACTTTAAAACAGCTCTGCTTGTGTACAAGTCTCTCCATGGCCTCGCACCAAAATATATTAGTGACATTTTAGTCCCATATGAACCAGCCCGGACTCTGAGGAGCACAGGGACTGGACTCCTGTTAGTGCCCAGAGTCAGAACTAAACATGGAGAGGCTGCTTTTCAGATTCATGCTGCTAAAATCTGGAACAGTCTTCCTGAAGATGTGAGACAGACCTCTTCTCTGACAATGTTTTAAATCAGGTTAAAAACAGTTCTGTTTAGCTGTGCATACAACTGAGGGATTTTATATTTTTATCTTTCTTTTTAATGTTCTGTGATTATTTATGATTTTAATGCTTTCTTGTTTTGTTCAGCACTTTGAGTTGCCTCGTGTATGAATTGTGCTATATAAATAAACTTGCCTTGCCTTGCCATGCCATGAATACAATAAAGTAAATAGTCAATTTAAATCCAAATCTATATTTACGAGAATCAACAGTAATGAGCGTAAACATGTACAGTTTATATAAGGTTTATACTATTTCAGATGCTGTTGACATTGAGAGTTAGTCATTGTAAAACAGATTCACTTTCTAATATATGCTTGTTCTTATACAGTCATCTTACGGGAATGTGGTCCATCAGTGTTTTTAACTGATGCGCTGATGCTTTTATCACCTGTTGTTGCTCACTTCTAATTAGAGAACAGGTGGAAGTTGATCCAAGCGGCATTTATAATAACGTAATGTACTCTATGCTACTCCATGCTACTCTATGCTACTCTATGCTATGCTACTCCATGCTACTCTATGCTACTCTATGCTATGCTACTCCATGCTACTCTATGCCGTCACAACAAAGCTCTAGGTGAACAATGATGGCAAAATATATTGATGTCTGACAACCAATGCAATGGCAGTTTCATATTCCATTTATTCTTTAAATTGTTTTGATTAAATTAAAAAAAGCATATATTTTGACATTTCAACGACAAGCTTCTAAAAGAACCTCATGCTTTTAGAAACAACATACAGAATAAGACAATTAAAAACAATTTGAAACTACTAAACTCATAATATTGTCAGGGGCAGTGGTCACTATGCAGCGCGGGCCCGTCTCCAAATGTTGATGCTCGAGGATTATAACTATTGTACATGTTTTTAGTGGTGGGGAAACCTTTATTCGAGCCACAGTGAGGAAATTCCTGTGTTGCAGCGCACATACAGGATAGAAGTGAGAGCACACAAAATATACAGAAATAAGTCGCACTAAATACTTCCTAATAGGAGCCTGTAAATCACTGTAATGCAAATAAATACAGTATAATGCTTAAGTATTGAACATATTCAATTTTGAGTGACATTTCCATACAACAATGTCCACAGATTATTATAGGACTAATACCTTTTATATTGTGCTTTGTGGAAAGAATTGTAAATATTGCAGTCTTTGCTTTTTTCGAACTGCCACCACTTGGATACATCTTCCAGTTCTATACCACATAAAAAGAAGGTGAAGACCTACAAACCCTAACATCATTTATGACCAAATATAGTCCGCTCTAGACTGGGTTCAGAGCAGCTTTCCTCTTTTGATCGCACTGTGCTGTTTGTCATCCCTCTCCAACACAGAGAACGCATGCGCCAACACATAAAGTTTAATGAGCGAAGCAATAAAACTCAGATATGTGATTGAGACCTGTGTGTACCTGCTCTTCTCAATTTGAGGTTTTCATTTTTCTAATCACACCTTCAAACTCACAATACTATCTCAGCCATTTACACACCACGCAACATGAGTCACCAGCATATAGACTTGTTTTGAAAATTTCTTCACAGGACTCACAGGGAGCAGGCGGTTTGAATGATTGTATTTTTGTGCTGATTTGGAAATACTACCATTTCTTTGAGTGTTAGAAAAGGTTTGTCTCATTGTTTAAAATACCAATACTGTTTTGGACTACATCTGGATAAAGTCTTCCTGAGAATTTAGACTCTGACAATGTTCAAATCCAGGATAAAAACAGTTCTTTAATGTAGCGAGTAAAGTATTTATGTTTTTTTTCTTGTTTTGTTAAGCATGTATTAACTGTGCTAAACAAGTAACAAACTCTTGTCTAATATAAAGACAAGACATGGTCAAAAAATAGCCTAATTTTTGTCCTACTTTCCACCAGGTACCTCATTCAAGCCACTTTGCATTGCAGGATTAATTCAGTTACTCCATACATGGTGGTAATACAGCCACAGACGCCCAGGGGCAACCTGATGGAAATGAAGGTGCCAGTCTGGCTCATATGCCCCTCAGAGCAGTGGAGTATTATCATCGGTCTCCCATCCACAGACTAACCAGGCCATGTCCTGCTGAGCTTCTAAGATCAGGTTTTGACGAGCAAGTATGGCCAGTGTGTTCAATGTAATCCAAATCTGAACACTGTCATTAGACATTTAATCTCTGAGGGCACACGTGTTCCCTGGACCAATGTTTGTGAACGAGTACTCGAGTAAATATTTGCCGAGTCTGTCTGCCCCTTATCAGCGGGTTGTAATCTCTAGACAGATTTATGACCTTGATATGGTTTGGATTCTCCTCATATTTGTGATAAATTCTGCTGGAACAGAAGGAAACAGTTTCAGGGAGGAGACAGTGACCAGTTTTATAGGAACATGAACTCGTTAGTCAAGAATATTCACACATGACAGAGTCGAGCCATAATTTACGGCAGAACGCAGGCGCCAGGCGGCCTCACAACGCTCAGACGCAGATATAATGTAGTCCAGGTTCACGACGTTGACACACAGTATAACATAAAATATAGTTAAATATTAGACATTGAGTTGATACAATTCCAGATTAAGCT